CAAATAGGCGATCACCGTAGACAGTTCACCTGAAAATTACTGAATCAAATCGAGATTTCAAACTTCATTTTTATAGTCATTATAAGTTTAAAGTATTCTTTTTCCTGTCTGTTCGTCCTTCCATTAGACTAGAAGGGGACATTCGCAAATACTGAATAGATAGATAATATAAGTGAAACTCAAGCGAACGAGTACGGATAATCGAGTTAGGAAAACGAAGTTTTAATGGAGCTGAAGATTGTAGATCAGCCCAAAAATTTCGAGCGCACTAGAAATTCGATGATTAACTCAGAATAGTATAGACGTAGATTTTATTTTTGAGATCAAACATACAAGAAAGAACCATTACTATATTTTAGACAAGATCCTCAGCACACCCGAGCACTAACGTCTTCAAAAGGTTAAGATATTTTCACCTCTTACAATACGGAACATCTGATGCAATCCTACAATGTGACGTCCAAGTTAGTGCGAATCTAAATCTTTCAACTGGTCTACATAATCTTCCCGAACAAATCTTAATATAATTTGAAATCAACTGTAACAGATAATCAGCTACCGTAGCAAAAATGATGCATGATTGTATGAAATAATACAATATATGATAAAAATCACTTGGACGTAGAAAAGCACAAGGAAGTCATATCCTTCAAAAATTTTTGGAAAGAAAGGAAATGTAGAAAATTATCACGGTAAAGGAGCATCATGTTTTTGAAATTAAAAAAAAAAAACTTCACTAACAGTAATTTGGATGAAAAATTGCGGTAGCCGATTAGTCACATTTTCTAGGAACTATCAGATTTCAAATGGTAGTAATTGTTTGTAGGAGTAGCACAGAGAATTCTAATAAAAAATAATATGGAAATTTTTCAGTTAAGAGCAGTACACAATGGAAAAAACTGAATTATAAAAATTAGTAAGCTCAGGAATGTAGCCAAACGGGATTTCTAGTCGCTTCAATTATATTAAGAGTTCAAAAACCAAACGACATACCTTGTGCTGCTTCTTCTTCTTCTTTTGACGTACTCGCTCCAAAACTTGTTTTTCAAGATCGTCATCTCTGAGATAATCTAGGCCGAGTACTGACCGTTCACCTTGTTCGACTAGAATCTCATCAAGGGCAGCCCAACATTGCCGATTCAGCGTGATTGCTTCAAAGGTGGAAGTCCCTTCCGGCACTAATTTTGCCACCATCCTGTAAAACAACGTCTTCTCAAAACACATTTAAACATATAGTACCGGTTAAAAGTGAACACGCACTCAAAGACAGGTAG